AGCTTACTCAAAGTTGATGTATCCTGAATTGGGATAGCAGGCTCTGTTAACTTTATAAGAGTTTCGTGTTGTCAAAGAAACCTAGATGAGGATGATTCGGCTGGATACCTCTTTCCTGGTAGTCATGGTGATTTCCAACTTTGGACCGTAGATTGGTACATTTGGCACATTCTCAAGTTCATGTAACTACGCTAGACATTATCAGGACTATATGCGAAGAAAAGTTGGGTTTCAAAGAATCTCTTGTTTCATAATTGTTGAGCCTACTTCCATTTCGAGTAAAAGTGTTGGGTGAAGAGATTCGAAGATCGATTGCATCAGAAGACTCGTTAGCTTGAATTTGGTTGTGACGACGATACTTTGCTCTGATGATGTTTGTTATATGACGGACAAAAGCTCAGCATCTTTTCACTGGAATTGAAGGAGATTACCTCGGAAATAGCGTCAGCAAGAATCTTCCAGTAAAGTAAATCGACGCTGGTCAAGAGGAATCCGCCATCGTCTTCTTGTGGAATCGACATTCGAATCTCTTCACCCAACACTTTCACTCAAAATGGAAGTAGGCTCAACAATTATCAGGACTATACGAAGAGTAGGAGGGTATGAAGGAGCAAGTCGAAGAGATTCGTAGTTGGACCTCACCGGGAGATGAATGCTGACTCCAATTGTTGTGCAACCGTTCAGGTTGAAACAGTCTACGAGACACCCTCCCTCACGTCAAGTGAAAATTGCCAAACTGGAATTTATTCTTGTAAAAGTTTCAGTAAGTCATCTCAACTTAATTTGACAGACACCCACAGAGCGTGAAAGGATGCTTCTGAGAAAAGGTCGTCAAGCAGACCAAGACCGAGGCTAATTATATTTCTACCTACATGTGATATTGATTATGCAAGTATAGCTCGAAGTCTGTTTGACTCAGTGTTTACTTGAAACTTTTGCCAGAACCAGATTCATCTCTGATAATGTCTGCTGTAGAAGGGATATTTTCACTTAAAATTAGGGAGCAGCTAGCATAGACTGTGTCAACCTGAGCGTCGTATAAAATCCAAACGTCTGCAGAATAATAAGATGCGGCCGTCGTCTTCCGGTGAAATCTATCAAATAATCCATCCTTCTTTTATTTGTAGGGTTTCGAGACCACCAGTAAATCAGTAATATGAGATGTATTCACCCAATTTCGTTTAAGCCAATGAAGGACTGGTAGTTGAATTTCCCCACAACGATATGAGCAGAGCTGAGACGAAATAGGGTGAATACATCTCATTTAACTTATTTACAGCTAGTTTCGAGACTATTTATAGTCGCAAAATAAATAATGTGGTCGATTGTCATAGCAAATATAACTTTACGTCGTAGATACGATGAGTCTCCTGTGAGACTTACAAGAATGAAACCCAGCTCTGATGATGTCCATCATATGATGGACGAAAGCTCAGCACG